ATACCAATGAACAAGGCCCGTAAAAACTGGAGTATGCCATGTCATAACGTTTCTGCACTAAAAGATGTAAGCCAGGTGAAATCAGTATAAAGTAATATGCCAGTCGGAGTCACCTAATGTGACATGTACGACTGGACCCATAGCTCATCAGTATATGCTAGCACATGAGTCGAAACCACCTATTATGGTATGTACGACAGGGCTGGATGTAAATATGTACACTCAAGTGCTACGATTACGTGAAGGCTGTGCGAATAATCGCGGCTCACCTACGAGTCAGAACCACTTATTGTGGTCTGTACGATAGGGCTGGCACCAAACTTGGATCCACGATGAGCGTGCGGTGCGGGAGGTGAACATCACATGAAGGACTGTGCCCTGACCTTGAGCGGAAGCACTAACATCGAGGTGTAGCAGCGATGAACTCTAAATGCATCTATGCATAACGATGTGCAATGCAACCAATACCATCACAATATACTCACATGAAGCTTACCTGAGCCTCCGTATCATCAAACAATATAATTCACGATTTATAATATTGCAATACTTAAAATGTAACTCATTATCGACATGGCATTTAAAGCATAAATCATTCTTTTTAAATGTTCTAAAAACCACAATATATATATATAAAGCAAATGCCCACTCACTGATAAGTAGCAGGATCGTAGCCCCCCAATCTCGCTTATCCACGCTTGTCATCGGGGTACGTTTCACCTATATGTGAAATAACTAATTTTACTTTAATTTTAAAGCACATTCACAAACCCTAAGAATAAATTCTCATACGTTGCTCAAATGAGGTGTTTGAATATACCAAAATGATCTACTCGACAACACGAACACCTCCATATTTTTAGAAAAAATTTTGGATGTCAGACGTGCTGGCCACGCGTAGGCATGTTGTGAGATCCCACATCACCGAGGGGAGTGGATCCTCTAAGCCTTATATGTATATTCTCATCTCTACTTAGCATGAGGCCTTTTGGGAGCTCACTGGCTTCGAGTTCCATCAGAACGCCGAAGTTAAGCGAGTTTGCGCGAGAGCAATCCCATGATGGGTGACCCAGTGGGAAGTTCTCGTGTGAATTCCCAAAAACAAAACCGTGAGGGTGTGGTCAGGGTCCAAAGCAGACAATATCGTGCTACGGTGGAGTCGAGCCTAGGATGTGGTGGGTGCCCAGGCCGAGATGTAACACACTTGCCTGGCACGTTGACGAAACTGTTAACGACTTTAGGGAATATTCCGTTAAAATTATCTGATGCTGTTAGAATATTCCATTAACTTTAACGGAATATGCTTATTCTTCTCCTGTGACTAGCCGGAGTCAGCCGCCGGCTGCCATCTGGTTCGCTGGTTTCTAGAAAATTTTAAAACTCTTATATCTAACTCGTTTTTCAACCAAAATCCATGAAATTTATATGGATTTGAAGCTCTTGAGGAATAGAACAAGTTCATACCTCTTGAAAGTTCAAAATCAAACGGGAAAAGGCCTGAAAATCCCTCGAAAGAACCAGCCAAAACTGAAACTTCTCGAACTCACTTGTTCCGACGTCAACTCCTTCCTAAACTTACTCTAGAGTCCTTAGGGAGTTACGTGGAGGTTTCCCGATTCCCTAAGTCTCAAAAACCGAGTCAGAGCTCACGAGTCACCAACTCAAAGTTCACCAAATTGAAGAACAAATGGTATAACAGTGATCGTGAAGTTGAGGGGAGTTTGATGGTAAACTTCACAAGTTCGATCCGTAAGAGTTTAAGGTGTAAGTGAGCTGGGGATGTCTTGGGTGCAAGAAGAAGAAAGAGGAAGTCTCAGAATGAGAGAGAAAGAGGGTACGCGTGCTTGTGTGTGTGGGATCTGATTGGGTAGAAAAGGGAAAGGTATTTTAATTGGCCCAAAAGGAAAAAAAAAATACAAAAACAAAATCTGATTTGACCAAGGAAATAGGAACCCATATAATTGGTCCACAATTTATCCATTTACGCACCTAAATAATCGTAACTTTTTTGATACGAATCTGATTCAGCCCTAACTCACATCAACACGCTCGTGACGTTGAGTATGATCTAATTACGATAACGAGGAAGATTATTTAAAACTGTATATGTACATCCACTTCACTAAGCCACCGAGGGCATAACCGTCATCTTACATACTCAGGGAGAAAATTATAATTAAAATTGGGACGGGTCGTCACAATGATACTCAGTAATTATTACTCTATTAATTATCATCAGTAATTAAATTTTGTACTCATTGCAATAGAATACAAGTCGTTTTAACCTTTTTCTATTCCAAGAATCTTTTAATTTCTCCCTAATATATGTGATTTTTCTTCCAAATTATGTTCTATAGGGCTTGAATTTTAGTTGTTTCGTTGCCAAAATCATCTAAACTACATATTAACATAATTTCTTTTGTCAACTGAAAGAGTGTGAAAAGACAGTTTAATCTTTTATCACAAAAAAATTTAACGGGCCTTAATGTAATTTTGCACTAATCAATTTTTACTTTTTTAACCCATATATGATCCTAGCATATCTATACTATTAAAAATGAAAAATAAAAATCGCTCTCCCACTAAAACTTGTGTAGGGCTTGGTTTGCCATTGAATTTCGCTGAGTGACACTATAATCTACTCAAAACTCACAACGTGACAAGTCTTAAATATAAGCTTATATCATTTTTTATATTTAAAATTCTCATAATTATATTTTTTTTACTAATTAATATATACCATGGATTAATCTAATGTTTCCTCTTTTTTTTTTGTTTTTTCCTTCTTTTCCCCTTTTTTTCTTTTACAAATTTCCCTCCACTCTATATTTTGCCGTGGGTCTTCACTCTCTCCCAATTTCATATTCCGTATTCCTCTGTTTCATAAAAATTCATAGGGAAAAAGAACATTGTACTTTGCAGAAAACCGAACGAGCTAGAAAGGAGACAAAGTTATAGGTTATGGCTTTTCTTGACACTGCAAAGTCTGCAAATTACAAACTGAAAGTTAATGATTAAATTTTGTCATTTCTTCTTACTATTGATGCCATTATAAAGTTTCAGACCTTACTTTTTTTAACAGAAATTCAAATGACTAAATCTATATACGAGCTGTTCAACGCACTGAGCATGATAAATTAGCAAAGCTATCTGGCCCAAAAAAAAAAAAAAAAAAAAAAAAAAAAGAATTAGCAAACCATGTGTAGAATTACATCTGGAATTTATAATCGAATGACTGAGTCTATTTAGAATTTGCATGCTTTCACACCACCACCCCACAAACCTAAAAACAATGTTCTCTTCTAAGGCTACTAAAACTTTTATCTCATACGAAAGGCTGAAGAATAATAATATTAGAATATGTGTAAAAATAATTTTGGGGTGTATTCATATTTTTATTTATTTTTTAAAATTTTTATAAGGCTCAAATAGTCATTCATACAAGAGTATAAAAGTTATTTAATAATAATTTTTTTATGTGGCATGTATTCAACAATATCTTGAGTGTTAATAAAACAACAAAAAAAAAAAGGGAACTTTAGATTGATTCATGGTATATATTAATTAGTAGGAAAAAATAATTAGGAGAATTTTAAATATAAAAGAATGATAAAATATTACATTTGAGACTTATTACGTGACGAGTTTTGAGTGGATTGTAATACCACTCATCGAAATCCAGTGGCAAGCTAAGCCCCGCACAAGTTATTCTCCACTCTCATGTTCTCTCTCCCCACCTCTTTCCCGTTTTGAAAACGAAAAGAAAAATGTTACACACAACCCTTACCTGCGTTGTCGAGAACTGTTTTTTGAACGTGGCGGTGCTGCACTGGTTGGCGACCGAGGCGGGGCGTTGGATGTTGATGCGATGTGGTTTTGAGGGCGTTGATGTGGTTGCTGGTTGGCTAAGGATTTGGGTGTTGGTCGTGGGTTGGCTAGGGTTTATAGGGCTAGTGCGACTGTTCTGGAAAATTTGAAGAAGAGTTTTTATTTTTTTTTCTACTTTTAAGGAGGGTTGGAGGGTAGGAGTATAAGATGGTTGGAGTGCGCGTAACATCACTCTTGATCAAATGAAATGTACAAATACACCCCTTATATGCCGTGAAGTTTGTGAGTTACCTAATTGAATCCCATCCAATCCTAGCGCAAACGAGGTTTTACAATTTTATTATTGGTCGCAAATAAATGCAAGTTTGTTGCCTATTCTGAAACTAGGAAATAATAGGTGTCTTTTTTTTTTTTAAAGGGAAAGAATATTATTAGATTCGAATTGAAATGTTTACGTCAGAAGTTAAAGTGTTAAACAACCATTTTGTCTTAAAATAGTCCCATTCATAAGAGCCTCCCTCCCATAAGACGAAAGCTGCTATTACAAATACAAGGAGCAAAAATGACATCCACTGACCTCAGCCAATGCTTCACATATTGAATATCAAGAAGGAGTGCTTCAATTGCAACATTTGGTTGAGCCTTGCCGTTAATCATATCCACAAGTCCTCTAAAATCTCATTCAATCTAAACTGCATCAAACCCCATATCAATACAAGCTAACAAAGCCGCCCACACCAATTCCACCTCTGCCATTAGACTAGATTCACATAGGAAATTTCCCACTCCCTCCGCCCCCTAAAACATACCTGTGAAATTCCGTACCACCCATTTATACCCTCTTCGTCCGGATTCCCTTAACCACATAAAAAATAAGTGTACCATCCACACATTTTATTTTTATTTTTTTACATACTTTTTGTTTATTTTTGTCTTTTAATCCTCTTCAACTTGTTTAATTCAACGGTCGAAAATTAAGAATATATAGAAGATAAAAAAGCAAAATGTAGATAAGCACTGTCCAAAGAATAAGGTAAAGAAAATTATAACAAAGTTTGTTGGTTGTTTGGGAGAGAAATGAAGTAGAAGAAAACGCGTTAAGTGAGTAACCAGAAAATGACAGTGACTAAAACAATGGATAGGGAGATAATAATCAGACTCATCACTACCACCCAATGCAGAAACAGCCCTCGCACCACGCGACGACATTTCCTCCCTCCCTCTTCCCCCCACCATCCCTCTTACCATTTTAAACCCTAAACTCCTCCTCCCTCCCTCTCTCTCTAAGATTCGCCTTCTTCTCTCTCTAGATTTTTCATCCATCTAGATCGCTTTCAGGTACGAATTCTCGAGTTTTTTTTTTTTTTTTTTTTTGAATTCTTTTTCGTAGAGTTTGAATTGCATTTCTGACTTATTGCTTATCATTCTCAAAAATTTTGATGATGGATATAACCAAATTACAACTACATTTGATCCGGATACGATAGCAAATGTGAAATTAAATAAAATTAGGTTAAAAATTTTAATTTTCAACATCGTTTGTTTCTTTTTTTCTGTTGAAGAATTTTCACCTAATCTCGTTTATTTGATTGTTCAATGTTTTATCAGCTTGGACGAAATTTCTGTAGTATATTATATTCTGCGGTCGAAATTCAGAAAATTAATAGTTTTTTTTTTTTAAGGTTTATTTTTAGCTACGCTCTGGAACTCGATTTTATTAACTGAAAAGTCACCACTTTATTACCTGAAACTCAAAATTTGGTCTAGTTTAACTTGTAAACTCTCTCTCTTTCTAAAACTCAAAAGTAGCCTCTAACATGTGCCAATGAATTTGATTATAACTCTTCACTAACATTCAACAATAAAAAAATATTAAGTTTAAAAGAAGAAATTAAGAATTGGATTTTTTTTTTTGGGATGCTGTGCTTGAGTTGCTGAGATGGAATAAATAAATAAATAAATTGATTAGCCTAGTGCATTCAAATCAAACTCACATAACGGAATTCACAAAATTAAGGTGATGTGGAGAAAATTTTGAGTTTTATAGAGTAAAATGACGATTTTTGAGTTTTAGAGGGCAAAATAGCATCAAAATCGAGTTTTAGGGGCAAAGTAGAGTGGATTTTGAGTTTCAGGGACGGGAAGTAAAGTAGCGAGTTTTGAGTTACAGGGAAAAGTGAGATTAAAATCGAGTTCCAAGCGGTGTAGCTAAAGTAAAGCCTTTTTAATATAGTTTGACTATTACTATCAACACTTCTGTTTAAATTTTTGAGCAAATTGAGGTGAATGTTAAATGATATGTATACGGCATACCCAATAATTGTAATAGCTGGTTTTAGCTTATTGAGCTGTCTTACAAAGAACTATGGACCTACTTGAGAACTGAATTGAATATATCACCATGTAAATGTTAAGACGATTGCTACGAATGAGTTTTGGAGATAGCATACTTCTTTGTGCCAACAAAATAGTCTACAACCTTTCCGGTTCACCATTCTTTTACCTAAATAATTGAATTGTCACTGTATTTATGAGAGTATTAATGCTAGGATATATTTGTTTTTGTTCTGAGAGACTGAAACGCTGTCTCTGATTAAACTGAGTCTATTTCTCTTGTTTGATTCGGTTGCAATGTGCAGATATATTGTAGATGCATTGTGATTTGTGAGTTAGTTTCATTGCGCATTGGTTGATGACTTGAAAATAACTAGTATGCTGCTGCAGCTTGTATTTGCAGGGTGGTGTGAAGACGTTATTTTGGGGATGGAGGATGGGAAAGAGCAATGGGTGGATGAGGGGTCTGAAAAATCTTCCCCAGAGGAGGTTGTGATTATACTTTGGTTTTCCAAGATGCTTAATACTTGTTATTGTAAAGAACCTTATGGAGAAATACGTACAAAATTGTTTGTATCAAAATCTTTGTGCTGCTATAGAGGATTGACCCAAGTTTGTTTTTCTAGGAGGAAGTTATAAAGAAAAAGTATGGTGGAATCATTCCAAAAAAACCACCGCTAATTTCAAAGGTGATATTTGAATTTGATAATGCTCAGATCTTACGTCCTGTTGTTCGAATTATATGCTAGCTGTACTGTTTTTCGTCTTAAGACTTTTTCTATTGATCTCAGGACCATGAACGCGCTTATTTTGATTCTGCTGACTGGGCACTTGGAAAGGTAGCCTTCCCAACACTAACATTACCCTCCAGTTGCAACAGTAGGAAACAATTATTTTGTTAATGATTTCATATCATTTGATGCTTTTTGGATGATAACAGCAAGGTGTTGAAAAGCCAAAAGGACCACTTGAAGCCCTTCGGCCAAAGTTACAGGTATTTCCCATTTTCTGTCGTGGTTGTGTCCACCTTATCATTCTTATTTGGCTTTCGTAGATGTTTAGGTGAGAGTTTTTGGTCCTGTTGAACCATGTTTTGTGGTAAGTTAAAAACTCCGTATTTAATAATCTACATGCTGCGATGTCAACTAGTTGACGGCTATTTACTGATTTTGGCACTAGAAGCAGATGAAGTTACTTTAGTATTATTGGTAGTTAGGTAGCTTTGGTTGAATACAATGTTGTTCTGAAGTCTTGATTAGGCCACAGTATCAGGCTTTTAGATGAGATGGCAAACTTGTATGCGCTCACCACAAGACAACGATGTTCTAAAATTCATGATATATTGTTTGGAGTGTGATGTAACGGAAGAATATCATTCTCTTTGATAAGTATTGCATATAAATGGCACCATGCCAAGTAGTTGCATCTTAAGTATAATCTTGCTGGAGCATGATGCTAGAGTTGGAAGAAATCCTTTATGTTTTCGGATTCGATACATCAATGTTCATATTTTTATATTCGTGTCAATCTGCTCTACCTCCTCCCCTCCTACCCTCTTATGCATTAGCGGTTTCAAGGAGTAAAAATGAGATAATTTAGACATTCCATGGTTCTCCTTGGTTATTTTATTGCTGCTTTAATACTCTTTTTTGTTTCGTGCTTCAGCCCACACAGCAGCAAACACGATACAGAAAGTCTCCTTGTGCTCCGGCAGATGGTGAAGGTATGCTAAACATTAGAAGTCCAGAAAGCCATTTCCGTTAATTAATTATTCTTTCCATATTGTTTCTTTGAAAATTTAGAAGGGAAAGAAAGAAAAAAGCCATTTACGTTGTTATACTACTTTACGTAGATGAAGGAAGTCCCGCTTCTGAGGATACAACTGCCAACGAATGACGGAGCTTTTGGTGTTTTGATCTTGTGAGAACCTCAGACTGTTATTGTGATACCTAATATTGTACTGGGTAATATTCTGTTCCTGACAACAAACTTGGTGAAGATGATGTGATCATAGCTATAAAACATGCATTGCACCAACGTTACTCCCGTTGAAACTAAACCATAACTTCTGGCGTTCCAAGTTTTGATGCGGGACGTTATTGCTTTTCTTATTAACATGGTTGTATACAACTAGTGATTTAAGGCAGATTTCCTCTTTACAGATATGCATTTTGCTGTGAAGTGATTTTTACACCGCTTTCACCCACATGCACCCCCTTTCTTCTAGCTTTAGTATTGAGTTGACCGAAGCAGAATTAACGGACATAACCAAACAGAAGAGTGCAAGAGGACAAAAGGGGAGCGAAGGTCGCTTCCGATTTATTGTTTCAGTATAATTTTCATAGCTCTAAGCATGCGGACAAGGTGTTAAGCAAATATGGATAGAGGCAAATTCCTCTTTTCCCAATTGACACTGGCCGCTGGGTGAATATAAAACATACCTCTCATCTAAAAAAATTAGGATTTTTATCACAAATGATCCTTGAAATTGACCCTCACCATCAAGAAGATCCTTGAAATTAAAAATCAATTAATGTAGTCGATGAAAATAGGTGTCGCAAATAAATGTTGTTCTGTCACAATTTTGTTAAAAATTCTGATAAATGTTGATGTGGCACATAAATTGGTCCCACAAGATTTACGGTTTTTTTTTTAATTTTTTGTTTGTTTATGTTTTAATTTTTTTTTTATCACAAATGGTCTCTGAAATTGACCTACACCATCAAAATGGTCCTTGAAATTGACTCATACCATTAAGATGATCGCTTAAATTGAAAATTGATCAATGTAGTTTTTGAAAATAAGTGTCGCAAATCAATATGATATTTCCGCCAGAATTCTGTAAAAAAATTTGTTATGTGTTGATGTGTGTTTAATAATTAATTAAAAAAGTGCACAATGGAATTTTTTTTTATAGTAGGACCTACTCTGAAGAAATATCACTTCCATAATTTCTCAAAGGCACAAGGCTTAACCAAGGCCTAAAAAGGGGTGTGGAAATAGTTTTTAACCAACAATAGACGCACCTCGGTAATAACCTCATTATCTCAAGGCAAATATTGCCGATCTTTGCATCACCAGACCACCAGAGAAGCGCCGAACAGGTTCTCCAAGATTAAGGTTGTGAGGATGTTGATCGCCTAAATGTTAATGGTGATGTCCCATAAGTTGTTGTCAATCGGCCAAGCCGTCACCAAAGGTGATCTCGATCCAGGTTCAATTCAGTGAAGGTGTCAAAGTGTGTAAAGATGGGTGTATTGAGATTTTTTTTAGAGAATAGAGAGTGAAGGAGGTAGAGAAATGTGGACTGGGATCGAAAGTGATTGCAGAACTAGGTTTTTGGGTTGACAAATTTTTTTATTAACTATTAAATTATTAAGCCTAATTGTAATTTTTTAAATTTAATTAGACTTGTGTGAGTCATATATGTCACATCAGCATATAACAAAAATTTTCACATAATTGTGACGAAATGACTACATTGATTTGAGGCACTTACTTGCTGGATTATATTGATCAATTTTCCATTTCAATGACCATTTTGATGTTTGAGGTTAATTTTAGGGACCATTTTGATGTCACAGTTCAATTTCAATGAACATTTGTGAGAAAAATAACTTATAGGACCTATTTATGTGTCACATCAGTACTTAAAAGATTTTTTAAAAGAATCTGATAGAATGATCACATTGATTTGCGACACCTATTTTCAAGAATTACGTTAATTGATTTTTAATTTCAAATATTATCTTGATAGTCAGAGTCAATTTCATTGATAATTTGTGATAAAAATTCAAAAAATTATTTATGACTTCCTACATTCAAACTTTTTAATCAAAAAAAAAAAAAAAAGAAAAAGAATATGATTCAAGTAGGTAATAGGTCTCTACATATTGAGAGATTTGTCAACTTGCTGAGCATGGTTCGGTGCATTGAGTGTAGGATTGGTTGGAACTTACAAAAAAAAAAAAAAGTTTACAATCAACTGTATTATACTATTGAGACACTTGACGGAATAACATTTTGCGTATTATGTTATATTTCTGGCATATTAAAAATTTGTTCTACGTATTGGCCCACTACAAATTCATAGTCATAGCAGGCTATCATGTCCAACATCACACCCATCTACATCATATCTCAATTATCCTTTGGGATTTTTAGATTTTAATTATCCTTGGGTCCATTGTCAGGGATGATGAATGTCTTGTCAAAAGAAAAAGCGGAGGATAACGTGGGAAAAGGATTTCACTAGATCTTCTTTGAAGGAATTCGGAAGATCAAGCAATTATAACATTTCATTGTACATTGTGTGATTAGTTTTTGTTAGACATTATTTATATTTAATTTTGAATTTTAAATTTTTAAATAATTTCTAACCGTATGATATACGATAAACGACTGTAATTATTTGATCTTCCAGATCCCCACAAAAAGGATCTTACGAGGATCATTTTCCGATAATATGAATGTTTTCTATTTTCTTTACTTTCCTGCCATTTTCTCTTTGATGAAATTTGAAATTTGAGAGCTCCATCGTAGATGAATGCCCAAATAAAATGCATAAGTACGTAAAGAGATTACGAGGAGTAATTTTTGTAATTAAGTCAACCGGAAAATTGAGCAAAACGCCAAGAAACTAGCAGTCCTAGAGGAATTCGGAGTAAGATTTTCTCTCATTCTATTCCTATCCTTTTTCCTTCTTTCTTCTCACACATTATTTTTTATCTTATTATCTTTATAAAAAAATCAATATAACATACTTTTTGATTTATTATCTCTAAAAAAAATTCAATATAAAATAGTGATATGGTTTAACCATAATTATTCAAATAGGAGAAGAGGAAAATAAAGAAAGATTAGGACGGAAAAAAACCCTCTGAAGAATTCTAAGGTGCAAGAAGAATAGAAAGTACGAAAATAGGAGTAAAGTATAACAAAAAGACGTAGGGGTGGAAAGCAAAGATCTATCTTGTAGGGTATAAACAGAATATAAAAAAAAAAAAGAAAAGAAAATTGGGTAAACTGTTCTAATTTAGAAACTGCATGTTTTAAAATTCATCTAGAAATGTTTTTAAAATGATTGAAAACGCTTTTAATAATTTTTTTTTTGGAATTAATCTCTAATAAAAATGCAAGTGAATCTTGTAAAAACACTTAAAAGTGTTTCCATCAAGAAACATCAGTTATGTGATTCTTATAGAAAACACTTGCTTTTAGAACCTACAAACATTTTCGAAAAAAACGTTTTCAGTCATTTTAAAAACACTTTCAGTCAGCTATTAGTCATTGTGGTTATGACAAAACCAATTTCGGTCGAAGTATTGCTACACTTACCACATTCTTTTATGATATTTGTACAACCCTTCTAATAGGTAGAGTCCATCAATACATATCATATCATCTCTATTAAAAAAGTGATATAAGTGTGATATGGAAAATGTGTTAAAAGTAACATTTTTTGTCTTTGTAGTGGTATTTTCAAATTAAAGAATTGGAATAACGTGTTCTACAATAATAAAATAAAAAGTGCATGACAGATCAACAGAACATGAATTGCTAAGAGAGAGAGGAGAGGCTTGGCATAAAATATAGAGAAATGAACAAATTTGGGATATTATTACTCATTATCCTCAAAAACTAGGCTAACCAGAAAATAAACAATTAATTAAAAAGGGTTTGGATGTGGTGCTAAACAAATTAAAGATGGAAATCAAAACATGGATGGATGGATCTATTTGGCTTTGGACTTGGAAATGAGCTCACGGGCATCAGACTGGGTTGGAAGAGCTGGAATGGCACCCTTTTGAGTTGTACAGATAGCTCCACAAGCATTTGCAAAACTCAGAGCCTCCTTCAATTTTGCTTCGTCCTGTATATATTTATGTAGGAAATAATTAAGTTAATTAAAATTTTAAAACACAGAAAATAGAAACCAAAAATTAAGAAGTGTCTAGTTTGGGACTGAATGTACTTACCTCAAAGATGGACATATCATTGGCCATGGAAAGCAAAAATGAACCAACAAAAGAATCACCGGCGCCGGTTGTGTCCACGGCTTTAACTGAGAAGCCGGCCACCTTTCCTTTGAATTTCTGCACGTATATATCATGACATGATCAATAATTTACATTTTCTCTCATATATATATATATATAGTCGTTATCTGCAAGTGTATGTAGTTGTGAAAGATATGAGAAGAAGTTGGTTTAGGGTATGAACGTACCTTAGTGTAATATCTGCAGCCCTTCTCACCATCAGTGACCACGAGCAGTTTGAGGTTGTCATGCCACAGGGACAGAACCACATCTTCTTTCTCAGAATCTCCTTGCGTCAGGAAGTTCACCTCGTCGTCGCTCACCTATATGCATATCCATATAGGTATATACTAATTAATCATCAAAAACGCAAACAACTCTACGTATATTCATACGTATCTAGCTACCAATATCTCAGATACATATTTATATATATCATCACAGTGAACTAATCTTATACAGAAAGAAATCGATATGAGTATACATAACATTGATCGGATCAGATACATAGATATACATACATATATATATATATATCATCATAGTGTATTAATCTTATACAGAAAGAAATCGATATGAGTATATGTAACATAGATCGGATCAGATACATACATACATACATACATACATATATATATATATCATCATCATCATAGTGTATTAATCTTGTACAGAAGAAATCGATATGAGTATATATGTGTTTAGTGTTGGTACCTTGATGAAATCAGCCTGATTCCATATGCTCTTGATCTCCTGCCTAGCAGCATCAGCAGAGGGCCAGAGGGGCAACCTGACGTTGGGATCGTAGGAAAGCAAAACGCCAGCTTCCTTAGCGGCTTTCATGGCTGCCATATGAGCCGATCTGCATGGCTCGGCTATGAGGCTTATGGATCCGTAGTGGAATATCTTAGCCTGCTTGATAAGACCCATGTTTAGCTCCGAATCCTTGAGTAGCATATCAGCACTGGGGTTCCGGTAAAACATGAACTCCCTTTCACCGTCGTTCTTCAAGGTCACGAACGCCAACGCTGTTCTGGCATGCTTATCCACGCACACTCCCTCTGCGTTCACCCCGTTCTTCTTCAATATGTTGATCAGCATGTGTCCGAACTCGTCATCTCCAACCTAAATCAATCATGAACCAAGAAATTAAAACAAAATTAATTAATTGATTGATTTCTAAATCATAAAATTAAATAAAATATCAGATGGACGGGTCGGTCTAGTTTCTATTACCTTGCCAACGAAAGCCGATTTACCACCAAGCTTGGTGATGGCACAAGCCACATTGGCAGGTGCACCGCCGGCGGCCTTGAGGAACCCCGTGGACTCGGCCAACGAAACTCCGGCCGTGTCTGGCACAAAGTCGATGAGCATCTCCCCAAACGCTACAATTAGTGGACTCTCTGAATTCGCCATCGTCAACTCACTCTCTCTAACTCTTGCAATTGAGATCACTTTATCGATCTATGAAACGCTGCTTCTGTGAAACAGATCAAATTAATTATTAAATTGTCAATGTCCAACCCTTTATATAGAGTTCAATCAGCGTCGGTCAGCCATCCATGTTCCGATATAACTCTAACTGACATCAGTTTGTTGCGTTTCCGAAACCGAAACAAAATAGGCAAACTACTTTATGCATATGTTAGTACGTATAAATTCTAGCAAAAATCAAACGGCTGATATTAATGAAAGATTTCACTATTGTCCGTCTGATTGCCACACAAGCACACAGATATATATATATATATATATATATATATATATATATATCCAATTATCGGTATCAATGTTGATTTGGATTTGAAAGACTAATCTAATTGAGATATGATCTATTGTGTTTTTTCATGACAAGATAAGTTGATCTTATCGTCTGTAATTTATCCAATTATTCCCTTTGCTTTTTTTTTTTTATTATTTAATTTATTATTATTATGGAGGGAGAAGAGTTTGAAACTATTACAATAATTTAAGAATAAAGGAATTTCAAACCTGAAACGCATGATTAAAAACCCAATACCCTATCGACTTGAATATTTGACAAACACCCCAAAGAAATCTCCTTGAGGGTATTGGATTGTATCATCTCTCCTATGGCCCTTGAGTAACTGTGAAATCCTGGCAGTATCTACTAGGGAATTGAATTAGAAGGAGATTAGAGAATCAAACGAGATTGAGTATTAATCCAATTCATTTTCCCCCTTTTTAAGAGAAACAATCAAAAGAGGGCTGGTTCTCTCCCGCACATCTCAATCGTTTTTTATTGTCTTTTGATGCGTAGAAGAGCGAAGCTCCTCAAAAGAGATCCCCAATACTTTACTTGTATTAGTGAGTTTTATTTTTATTTGACATATAGTGTCACGTTCCGAATTTGGGCTTGTTGGAAAATACCCCTGCGTCCGAACTTGCCACGTTCCGAATTAATGGTAATACTGAACTGGTTTCGAGGTTGTGTATATACTTAGAAGACGAGCCATGCTTACTTGAGACAAAAAAGGGGTTGCGGTTGCTGGAGGAGGTTTGATACCCGGTGCGGCGATAAAATGTGTGTTAAGTGCTTTAAAAATGATTAAAAACGTTTTTGATGAAAATATTTTTAAAACCAATTTGTAGTAAAACTGTAAGTGAATACTAGAAAAACACTTGAAGTGTTTCCTATAAGACGTACATGACTGATGCTTCTTCTAAAATACACTTCAAGGGCTCTTAGAATCCACAATACTTTCAGCAAAAGCACTATCCATCTTAAAAGCACTTTTAATGAGCACAAACTTTTTCAAAAGCGAAGATATCAAGATTTTAAGAGACATTGAACAGTATTACAGTAACGGCAATGCTCTAGTATTTCCATGCATGCAACTGTAACAACAAAACAAAACATATCACTGATCTACGCAATTTCATCTTTATCAATCGCGTTTTAAAGCCTTCGTCACGCAGCCCTTGAAAATCACTATTGCAAAGTAAGCCAAGACTGTAACGGCAATGCTCCCGAGTAAGACGAGACGATCGAAAGAAGAATTTTGGACAGTGTAGACCCGAAGCCCGATCACATCCCAGTTGCTCTCTGTCCAAACAGCGTCCAACTGCCCCATGGGGTCAGAGTTATTCGGAGGCAACACAGTCCACGTTCCACCAGATTCAAATTTCAACCGTGTTGAGTATGCCGGAACATATCTGCATGATCAAAGCACCAGCATTAAAAAAATTATACAAATTGACAACTTTTATTTGACTTTAAACTCTACTACACCTCGCTAGACAGTTGCAAAGGCCCGAAAAACATGCACATGCTAGGTAGGCTGGCAGAGTAGGAAATAAAAACATTGGCCTCGACCTACAGTCGACAAATATAAGGTTGGCCTGAACAAAAGCAGGATTTTGTGATGGAAGTTTCAACCAATATGACCTGGCAAGCAGGTCAGACCCCTCAACCAGGATGATGAGGTGCGGTTTATTCCATTGAACACGTCATACTCTAAACACAATTTGATTAAGCATGCTTGTTATAATGGATCTGCAATTTCTAGTTACGTACCTGGTTGTGGAGACAACACAGACACCCTTTCCCTCTGTTTCTGCTCTAATACATACTTCACCATCATTACTGCAGTCTTGAGTACAAACAGAGCTTGCATTTTCCTTCGGAATAGAAGTTCTTTCGGCCAGGAAGTTCCAAACGAACCTTGAAATGTCACCAACGTATCCCAGATCAGGTGTGGAGGAAGGTTCATCAAGTATAACGCCAACATAATGGCTCGGGCAGGTATTGGCTGGTGATATATAGCTTTTCACCAGATCACAAGAAAGACCTGGCTCACAGTCCACCAGGCAACCCACTAGTTCTTCAACTAGTGAAGCATTCACGTTGATAGACATCAGAGCAGAACTGCTTAGATTTTTGGTGTCACTTGCAAGAATGTAAAGGGAGCGTGCTACAAGGGAAGCAGCTGCCGCAATGGATGATGAGTTGATATTTGCTGCAGTGAAGTTTCAAAGTATGAATGAAACAAATGAGATTTTGGATCACCATGTAGCATCAAGATGATTAATCAAGAAAGAACAAAAGAATACAAATAAACTCACATAAATCATCAAGGTGACTGTGGTAGAACTTGTTGGTGAAGACATTATCAAAATCTTCCAACACAACCCCAGAGGTTAGAGAGTTCTGTTAAGAGTAAAAGAGCTATTGAGAGTTCCATGAAATCAACAATGAAAAATGATTTCTATATTCTTGAGCATTCAATATCTACAAACAGAACAAAAAGCTAAATAAAAGAAGAAAAAAATGCATAAATATACGGCCCAAGAACAACATAAGCTACCAAAAACAAAAAAAACAAAAATTTAATCCTTCCTGAGTTCAAGGTTGTGTGGATTCAATAAAATAAAACTTCCACATGGAATGAGACATCCAATACCTCCGGATGATGGATGCTCTATGGATAAATTCAAGGGGACGTTGCACAAGAGTAGTTTATGTTGCTATCAAACCAAAGTTCTCTTTTAAATCACAAATTCATCATTTTTTTAATGAATTATGCACCTACTTTTTACAGGAGAGGTGTGGCTATCAAACCCTAGGCCAGCTACAACATTACATGCTCTTTGTTGATGTAATCATGTAGATGAAGGGAGTCCGAATTAAAAATTAACTGAATAGAGTAAGGGACTGTACTGTTACATACCTTTCTCAGAAAAGTCATCAAGGAGGATGGAGGTATCCCAGGATTTGAAGCATTTGCAGATGAGATTGTAATGTTTTCAGACTTGACTGAATCTTGGGCACGCCTCACAGCATCCAATGTCTCATTTGTGGAAGATGAAACCTACAAATAACACCTTGAGAAATATAACCATACTGAATGGAGGGGCACTTTATGATAATAAGATGAGAGTCTCTATGTGATCTTCCCAACAGTTTCTTCTACTGTAGGTTTCACAGAAGGCAAATTTGGAATAAATGTAACCACACCAAATGTGAGGGCACTTAATGATAATAAAGAAGAGAGATCTTTCTGTTATCTTCCCAAGAGCTTCTTCTAATGTAGGTTTCATAGAGGGAAAATTCAGAATTTGCATATTATTGCATTGCATCAATTATCTAGTCAATCGTGAATGATTGGAGATCAGACGTGGAAAGGGTAAACCATCATCGACCAATGACGAGACAAAAAGTTCATGTATTTCTATTATGATATAGAGACTGAATTTTAGACATGCACAGGGAAAACCGTATGGAATCTTATCACCCAACTTCTTCCACGAGCATACATAACTTAAAGTATTTCACTTGTGCCAGATATGAAAGCAGTTATATTATGCAAGATACAATTCCAAGGCACAGTTGCAGAAGTTAATAGAGTTAATAGTATGTGCGTAAAATTTGAATTGCAGGGAACAAGTTTTCTCACCGCAGTTGTATGAATGAAAAAGTTCTTAGCTCCTTGGCTGAGGCCCTTTCCGACAGATCCAATTTCCACAACCTTCAGACAAGCATCCAATTACCATTTAGTGGGCTCCTCGAAAGGAATACTGATGTATTATGCAGAAGATCCAACTAAATTACAAGAAAATCAACCATATAACCCAACATAATACTCAAATTTACACAACACGAAGCACAGTATGTTTCAGTACAATGCGAGAGAAAAAGGGGAGGGATCTTTAACATGACACAAAAAAGAATTCAGAACGGGAGGAATGGAAATTTATATCTCCCTATAACTGATGCATTTGAAGATTCTGGTCAGGAGGATCACGTAACTTGTAAATTTGCAATGCTTAGGCGTCTGGCTGGGTAACTGATTGAGTATATTTAGAATAACAGACCTTTGAGATTATAATAGTTTACTTCAATAACATCTCGAGCAGAAGTGTACCTTCTCAATCAATGAGTAATTAAGACCACTAACAGCATTAGACTGCAGATCAAGTTCAAGCAAAAATCTCCTGCTACCAAGATAGCCCCAGGCCTCTCCAGTGAAAACAGCAAAAACAAGCTGCATTGAAAATTTAAAAATTAGGATCATCAAATAATACATATCCACATGCACCGAAGTCAGAAGCAATACATTGTCATTGGTCAACAAAATTTAAGAACATTTTTTTAGGATGAATAAAGTGAACCCATAAAAAAATACATCTCAAGAACTTAAAATGCAATGCATTTATAAAAAAATGACATGATATGAAAAGGAGGGGACAGGCCAAGTATCGAGGTAGTATACAAGAGAAGACCACCAAGACAACATGCTTCTACATATAAACATATACATATAGCTTGGTACAGAGATGCAAGACAATCAGGCATACTAGAATGGTCTCAAATCAATCTGAGAGGAAATTCATAAATAAAAAGCCACTCTAACAAACCAACATGGTTTTCAATATGAGCAAACTGACAACAATGTATTACACATAGATTATCCATCTTATAGCCCACCTGTTTATTGAAGCCATCCAGATCATCCGCACGAGAAAGTGCATCAACTGCGGCCAGCAATGAAATCAGCCCCTAAAAATTGTTGCAAGTATGATTGAGTATTTCATACAAGGCAGCATAAACAATAGAAAGAAATAAAACGAACTCACAGATATAGGAGAGTCAGCACCGAGTGCTTTATCACGGAAAAAAGAAGCTGAATCCATTGACGCCAGTACAAGTATAATGGGCTTGGAGTGTTCTGGTGATGAAATGTTGATTGGGGGAAGTGATGACCAAACACTGCCCTTCATAATCAAGATGCAAAAATTACACTCCACACAAAATTAAGAAAAGAAAAGAAAATCGAATTTGCTTTTACCAGGTAAACGTGACTACATATAGTTTTCAAGGCCCTCAGGCCTATATATAGTCATCTAATAGAAGACACACACAAGATCCAAATCTATTTGCCTTGCTGTGATTTATGCCTTGTTGTAAGAATTTAAGTTATGCCAAATAACTAATGGGATAATTATAAGACAATACTTCTCTGTTTGTGTGCGTGTCCTCCATATGAATTTTATAGGAAAATCTTTTAGATCAAAGGTTAAGTTGGTTGAATACCAACACTTGACCAGTTTCCATACCAAAAGACCCCAGCATCACAACTATATAAATTGCAAACGGACAGGATCATAACTTGAGTTTATTCATTATGAGAATAGGAAAACTCACCTGTATCCACCTAAGGGAAGGCAAGTGTTTTCCTTTAGACAAGATTCGGAATCACGAGTCCCAGATTTCATTGTCTGATCCAAGCCAAACGTGTTATAAAAGGCCATTTAATGATATTAAGTTAAGCAAACACTCACGGGATAAAATCATTGAAATGCGGCAGGAAAAAAAACTATGCTGAAATAAGAGATTATACCTGCATTACCAGATCAAACTCAGCCACATCATCAGTATAAGATTTCTTGCTCTTCTGATTCTTTATGGCAGCCTAGTCATAAGTGACAACAAAACTAACTATATCAATCAGAAATTTAATGACCCTACGTAATCAAAAGGTCAAGTGCACACAGCATTGAGAACTCTAAAGTCATGGCAATAGCTTGGATGTAGGGAAATATTGATGGAAGTATGGGTGACAATCAAATGGAAAAAGAAAAAAAAAAGTTAAAACCCGGAAATTGTGCATTAAACTTTAGGGAATTGTAATACTTGAATTTAGTTAAAAAACACTACTTAGCACGTGGTATAACAACTTTCACATTAGTAAATTTAAATCAAATTAATTGAACTTACCTTACATTAGATACACTTACAGCCCAAATTTTACCAACATAGCCACTTCAATTATTGCACACAGAGTTTTAGAAAAAAGAAAAAAAAATTACAAATTCATTACATTTTGATTAAATGGTAAAACTTTTTGAAATTGCACTCTGACTGCAGCAGAAACAATAGGCAGCTGCAGAAAGTTGCATTGGCAGCTTGTTTCACATTTGTGTTGTGCTGGATATTGCAAAAAACCGGGGAAAAAAACCTTCAGACCTTACTAACCTTCAGATCTTACTAACTTCCCATAGTTTCTATAGGGTGGAAGCGTACACCCTGGTTTCAGCCGACATCTCTTCCATTTGTGGCTCAGAGCACAAACATAAAATAAAAATAAAGGCTTAACTATCAAAATGCCCCCTGAACCATCAGGGAATTATCACTTTGCAATTCCTTTCCAACCTGGACTTTCACTCCTGTTAAATTTTGCTCCATGATATCGACATGATATCTGGATGACATATTGATGAAATATTGAGTATCTGACAATTAAAAGTTAACGAGTCAATGGAAAAAGTTGACGAACAGGGGTAATGTGAGGCACACAAAGTAAAACTCCAAGGAGAAAGTGATTCAACTGCAAAAGCAGGGGCCTAAAGTGATATTTAGGGTATTGTTCAGGAGGCATTTTTGATAAATAACATAACTACCAAGATGCCATCCTTTTAATTCATAAAGGATGCAAGAAGCACCCCTTTTATTGGGTAAATAATATCCAAGAGGCATTTTGCAAATTGGGACAATATCTACTATGGCATTCTAATTATATTTTTCACACCATTATATCTTTTAATGAGAAGATGAAGCACTCCTTCAGATTAGAGATGTAAAAGGCAATGAATCTAGGTCAAACAGTAATTCCTCTTATGATTTAACAGGGATTAAAAGATTATCTAGGTCAAACAATAGTACAACTTGTGATATTGTGAAAGGAAACAAAGTAACCAGAACAACCATAAGCAATTATGTCTATTGGACTCAACATTTTAGCCTGTTAAGCCATCTCACATATCAAAGTAAATAGTATGACATTTAGCCAGGACCACATATGGTACTGAAAACTTTTAAGAACTTGCATTACCTCCTGCATGGTCAATGTGCTAGTCTGCGAGAGTAAGAATACAGGAAAGTTATATGGGTTCCACATTATACCAGAGCCCTGCAAATTTGAAACATTGGTGCCTCAATTTATCAGAGGAAAAAAACAAGTCAAAATTTACATCCTCTGATTCTAATTTTATCAACTCTAATCTCGAGAGTTTAGTCGACACAAAAAGTAAATCTTTAAATGCTAAGTTTGTACGTGGTCTCGTTAAACGATATATTTTATCTTTGGAATTGATCATCAACTAGCATCTTGCATTTTAAAGAAAATCAAGCACTTGCTTGGGTACAATATATTATCCGTTGTCAAATTATTGATCCATTAAGACATTTTTTTAGGAGCAAGCATTCAATTATTAGCAGCGTATATAAAGGTAAATAATAAAGACTATAAAAGAACTTACAGTTGGGTTCCATTCATAGTTGATGCTAGTGTAAGAAGCAAATTCAGATTGTGGGAACTTTTGAGCTGGAGAGAATCCTACAAGCAAGACAAGAAGCACTGTCAACAATGCCATAAAGAATGCCTATGGTTAACACTTAACCCGTATTAGCTTTCTTGAAAGAGAAAAAAACAGACAATGACAAGTAGATGATCGCAACTTTACATTTTTGAACATTTCGGTACTCAAGTACTGATTCAATGAAAATTCTAGGAACGTTGCTATGAAAATAAAAATGTAAACACAAAAAAGAATGACTAGTAGATAAATGCATCTTTACCTTTCAACTGATTTTGCAACTCAGGTCTGGATTCAACCAAGACACCGGCAACATTTTTAGCAAAATTTGAATCATTCAATATTCTGCAACGCAGATAACTTACAAGTAAGCAATTCTTCATGGTCAAAGAATTAAATTAGAAACAAAAAATAGATTACTACAAGCATCATCCTCAAATTAACCATCAAATCCTAGGCTGTTACGCAATCCAAACCTTTGGTTATATATTACACATTGAAACATCAGTACAGAAACCTTTTACTTATATAATCCACCAAGTCCAAAACATAGCAATACATGTTGAACCATGGACATCATCAGAAAAGCACTAAATCCTAGTATGATTACCAAATGAAACACTAATTCGGCAATAGACCTAGCAGAAAAAAAATTACTAATTTCTATCACAAATTCACAATTGAAACTGAAACAGATTACTATAGTTCTTGATAAAATTAACTTACTTCAATCTGTTAGAACACCAGACAATATTAGAATTTGGAATTATAGAAATGACTTTTTGAAATTGATGTGAGCCTATTTGGTAGCCCTTTGATATGGGCCCGTTTGTTAACCTTTTTGACATGGGCCTGTTTTTTATAATTAAGGAAAGAGAAGATAGATAGATGAAAGACTTGACGGCAAAAAGGGAAATATTTCATAAATCTCAGTTGAAAATATGAACTAAAAACAAGTTTACATAGTTTTTAATTTTTTAGTTTTGTGCAGTAGCTACAGCTTGGATAGAAAAGAACAATAACCTTTGGAAGCAACAGAAATCATTGGACCAACTCTAAAACTAAAGGCTTTTGCGTCTAGAGGGAAATGACCAAATGACCATGGTGTGTGAACTTTGCTTATTTCTTTTGTTTGAGGATCGACGAATCAAATGACTTTTTTTCCAATTTTTATCTCTTCTTCTCCCGCTGAATCAAACTTTTTCTTGATGTTGCCATCTTGTTTCTTAAAATAATATATTTTTCTTCAATAATCATCACTAGATATTAGATACACTACCGCGTAACATTGTTCAAAGCATACAATATCAGAGCCCTAACAAAGTGCAGAATATACAAATAGCACAAAAAAAGTTAGATGAATGCATATATGAAATTGAAGGAATACCTGGCAAGAAAACTTTGAATTTCATCCACTGACAACAGAACTGCAGATAACTGAGACAACTCAGTAGCATTGTTCAATCTTATAATCGGAGCGACAACCTTCTCTCTTCCAGGATCTTGGAGTGCAATAAAAAGAGAAGAGAATTCACCGACAGTTAATTATAAGGACGGTTGGTTACATATAAAATCATACAGATAAGCTATACAAAAGACTACTGTAGCACTGACTTGAACAACCAATCTCCCCAGAAAGATTGAGTAGCCGTACACAAGGATATCCATCAAGTGTCATATACATTGAACTCTGAAGATCAGGAACTGACTCCATCTTGCTTATCTGTCCTAAAGTTTCAAAAGATAACAAAGTTATAATTCAAGCCAACCAAATTAGCAATATAAAGTTGCACGGCAGAAAAAGAAATCAAAATAAAATAGATTATAAAGGTATCCCAAGAAAGGAAAAGGTAAGACAGAATTTGCAAACAAAGTATTATTCACATGAGAAGGTTTCCGTAATGATGACTCAGAGAATCAACATTTCTAAATGCTAAACAAGGCCTTAATATCATTTACACTTGTGTCTACTATTTTAGCGAAAGAAGATGTTTGAAATGCTGTTTTACAACTACTTGCCTATGCACAATGTAAAAGACATTTATGTAATACATATTTTCTAGCCCAAAAACTTTGGTAGCATCCTTGGCCCTAGTAAAATCATTTTTCCAAATTATGGCACGCAAAAGAAATGCAGACTGTTGACAAAGACGAGAGAGTGAGAGAACGAGAGAGAGAGAGAGAGAGAGAGAGAGAGAGAGAGAGAGAGAGAGAGAATGAGAGAGAGAGAGATAGAGAGAGAGAGAGACTCTCACAATAAATTAAAAACAATTCAGTACGTGGAAGTGGAACAGGTTAAAAACAAGACAGCACATTTCCCCATGAGTGCTCAGATTCTTGAATGCAACGATGTCAAAAACTCCATTTAAATAGTTACATTCAATTAGTAAATGGTCAGAGACAGATAAGTTTTGTGTTTTCTTCATGTAGCATGGTATAGGGGGTGTTATCCATGTCCAGCAGCACAGCCAACTACCCTATCCTTTTGTATGCACAAAAATGAAGGGTACAATTTCATAATTGGCAATCCTTGCACCTATAAAAGATATCCACTCTGGACAAACCCTTCCCATCCACCTTTCTCGAATTATGTGTCAATTCTCATGGGCAATGTTTAAACATCCCGAAGAGCACTAGTTTTCTACCTTGTCCTCTCTATTTCCAATCCCAAAACAAGGCTTTCTCCAGCCAATAAGACTTCAAAAGCCTAATTTCAAGTCTTAAAGTCCCCACATACGTAAATCCTATAGCGTAGCTTATCAATACAGAAACCCATCATTGAACTCTGTCAGTGAATTTGGAGTGTTTCAGTTAACTGACAGACTGACAGTGTATATTCGACAATAACTGTAGCACACCTTCAAATAGCATTCTTAGCTTTTAATCCATTACGAGAATTCATCCATTACTATTGATCGTTATTGCATTATGAGCATGCATTAAATTCAATAATAACTATTACTACATTATGCACATTTCGAAAGCAGATTCATTCATCTATGTATTTAGCAGAATATACCAATAAATACGACCATTTCTATTGTTTGAGAATTGAGAGACATCCAAATTTTCATATCCCTCAACCTCATTCTCCTTCTAATTCTTAAGCTGAAAATAAGAACCACTTCATGACATGCCTGTAATTGTACTTGAACCGATGCTATCGCTATCCTCTAGAAACGCAAAGACTTGAAAACCGCAGTGGCATTCCAAATGAGAATTAGAGATATACTCAAATATATATCATTGATAGCAATTGATTTCATGTGAATTAAGTTATAAGTTTCCATTTTTACTCCTTGTGATTCTAAGCAACCAAACATAGTGCAAGTAAAATCGAAGACATCGAAAAGCTAGTGTAAATTTGAAGAGATTGAAGTAGTTGCAGAGACAGAGAGAGAGGGAATTGGAAGAAAGACCGCTTACCAGAGAATGCGAGACGAAGATGAAAGCTAAGCAAGAAAAGCAGTAGAAGGAATTTCATGGCCATGGTGCTTCCGCAGCTGAGCTACTGCTCTTGCTCACCGAAACCCTAGACCATCGTCGACTGCAAGCAACCAAATTTGGGGACTGAGATAAGAGGTTAGAGCATCCCCGATTGCCTCCAAATTTGGGGCTCTTTCTATGGAAAATTTCTATAATTTTGAATTTTCGTAGGGGCTAATTACAATTCACACCATGCGACAGTTAATTACAAAATCAGCCAATATGTTTCCATTTCTTCAAAACACACCCTAAAATTTTGATATTTGTTCAATTCGCACCTTTCGTTGAATTGACTATCCGAAGTTTGAACGTCAGGTGTTCTAGCCACCTTCATCGCACGTGCCCGTGTTTCTTCCCCTCAAAACCGAAAAAATGGGGGATGACGTGTCACCGTGCTGGGCCCACCCCAAACTTGTGTCTCCCTTGGGCTCAAGAATACAAATGGGCCTAATGGGCCTCTTCTTTCTTCCATTTTTTTGGGAAGAGCCTTCACTTCCAAGGTTGCAACGCAACCTCCTCTCACTCTTCGTGGCTCACAGAGCTTCTGAAAACAACAAAATCGAAAGCGAGAGGTATCATCGACAGCAATGGGGTTGGGATCGCTTGCTTCGAGGGCCATGAGGCCCACAGCGTCAAGGCTCCTCAGCTTCCAGAACCCTAGGCCCTTCTTCTCCTTCCACAGAGCGGTCTCAACCACGCCGGAGCTCCAGAACGCCGATCAATCAGCGGCGGCGGCCCATCCCGACCCCCCCGCAGATCTCCCTCCTCGGACCCCTGTGGGCGGGGCCCGTGTCCACTTCCCGAATCCCGAAGATGCCATCGAAGTCTTTGTCGATGGATACCCCGTCAAAATCCCCAAGGGATTTACTGTTTTGCAGGCCTGTGAGGTCGCCGGCGTTGATATCCCTAGATTCTGCTACCACAGCCGGTTGTCGATTGCCGGTAATTGCCGTATGTGCCTTGTTGAGGTTGAGAAGTCGCCGAAGCCCGTCGCCTCCTGTGCCATGCCTGCCATGCCTGGTTAGGTTCCCCTCTATCCTCCATTTTCGGCTTCTATTAGCTGTTTGTAGCTTCAAAGTTCCGATTTTGGGACTTTTCTTTCTGGGTTTTGGCTCTACTATTTGGGCATGTTTCGAATGAGTATGATTAAGGCCCATAATTTGTAGCTTATGATTTGTCCAACCTTAATTTTGAATATTGGGACGATGCATTGTATAATAGTTTTTCGTTGGACGTAGATTTCGTTCCGTTTTCCTTTGGTAAAAGTATGAATTATGATGCTTTCCTTTTTTTTCAGCCCAGGATTTTCTGTAATGCTTAATAACATTTTGATTTTGATATGATATTTTGTTAATTGAGCAATGCATTGTTTGTCTATGACATGTTTTGGTTTTGGTTACTGTGGAATTTAATTTTGTTTTATCTTTTTGTGCAAAAAGTTGTGATCTTTTGACAAAAGCTTCTTCTTAGGCATGAAAATTAAGACTGATACTCCAATAGCAAAGAAGGCTCGAGAAGGGGTGATGGAGTTTTTGCTGATGAATCATCCCTTGGATTGTCCAATTTGCGATCAAGGAGGAGAATGTGATCTGCAGGATCAGTCTATGGCATTTGGATCTGACCGCGGCCGTTTCACTGAGGTTAAGAGATCTGTAGTTGATAAGAATCTTGGACCTTTGGTGAAGACTGTAATGACTCGGTGTATTCAATGTACAAGGTTAGAATCGAGCATTACCTCTTCTTATACACCACATATTCACTACAGTTCTAGTGAATTGTATGATGTTTTGGTAAAACTTTCTTCTAGTATAATCATTTTATAGTAAAAAAATCACTTGTATTATTCTTTCATGCCTTGTTTAAAAGCATGAGTTATTGAATGCTTGATTTTGTTGTTGTTGTTGGTGTTAGTGGAATTTAGTGATGCAAAGTATTGTCGCATTTTAACCTCTAAAGTGCACAACCTCTAGGAGTTGTTAGTCTATCCCTAGTGTTTTGTGTAGTCCATGATGTGTCCTCTAGGTAGAGTAAGTTTTCAAATTAACAACCATACATCACATATTTGATTACGCTTTGAGTTTAGTCACCTGATTATAAATATTTACTTGGTTTGGCTGTTGTGAAACAGGTGAAAATGAATTCCCTCAATTGAATTATCTATAGTTTACTAATTGAAAATAATTTTACATTTGAATAAAGTGTATGAGTGGGATACTTGTAGCCCTCTGCATCTCAATTACCACATGTGGTGTGCCTGGTTTAATATATTTCTGTGAGTTTATGCTGAGAGGTTTATTATTCTATTTGTAAGTAGCTTTAGTGAAGCAACTCCAGACGTTCCTTTTAAATTGATAACTTTCTTTGTTTGAGATATTTATCCAACATAGTTTTTTCCTTAACTAAAAGATGTGGAGTCCTTCCCAGTTTCTTCACATCAACTGTTCTAGAAACCATGAGGACATAATTGGTCTCAAGCATATTCGAGTTCTCTTTTGTATTCTATATGTTAGTTAGCATTTGAAACAGAAAAGTGAGGCTTTGTCGATTTATTTCATTTCCTGGTAAGTAACATAATTTTGAAATGTGGCTTTGTCTTATCAGAATCTTTATTTAGTTCATGAGTATCTTTTTTTTTTTTTTTTTTTTTTTTTTACTTGTGTTTTTCATGGTGCTGCTTTTTAGAAATCCCGTTAAGCCAAGTTTGGACCATATCCATGATCATGTGTTATCAAGTTTAACAACCTAATAATACAATTTCTTAGCACCTTACTTCTATTATCATGCCTGGAGTACTAAGTTACCTTTCCAAGTCTGATGGGAGTGGTTCGGGTTGTATGTTTTTACTTCTTTGTTATCATGTGGTCAATGCTTCAAGTACACTTTTCTCTAGTAATAATACTAGGGTTTTGATATTTGACAATTGAAAATGTAGGCATTGAGTTTTTGATATATCAGAAAACAGTTACCTCATTTACCTTGGCTTGGATAGCACTCATCTTTTTAATTGTAGTTACAAGCTTCTGATGTATAGAGCTCTTTTGATCGAACAGGTGTGTCAGATTTGCAACAGAGGTTGCTGGGGTTCAGGACCTTGGCATGTTAGGTCGTGGCAGCGGAGAGGAAATTGGGACTTATGTCGAAAAACTTATGACAAGTGAGCTTTCTGGAAATGTGATAGATATCTGTCCTGTGGGAGCCCTAACCTCAAAACCATTTGCCTTTAAAGCCCGAAATTGGGAATTAAAGGGAACAGAGACCATTGATGTTACTGATGCTGTTGGATCCAACATTCGAATTGATAGCCGAGGTCCAGAGGTCTTGCGCATTGTCCCACGATTAAATGAGGTAGTTTTTGTTAGACTACTGCTGATGATTATTATCGCTGAGACTAGCTTTCTTTTCCGCAATACTAATATATGCCAAAGATGCTTAAACATAACTTCAAAACTTACATACACGAAAATTTTTAGCATACAATGTAGGGGCTGATAGTACTCATTTTTAATTTCTCAAATACGTGTTTCTTCAATCAAAAATGTATAATAAGTAAAGTTGTCCCAAGTGTTTCCGTTAAAAAAAAGTTTTTTGAGGGACTTTTTATGGTTATTAAGGATACAAATTGTTTGATACAACTAAATTGCTACAAGTTACTTGATGGACTGTGCATACCTAAATTGTTTACCCATAAATGCAAGAACACTATCCATAACATTTTAATTGCAACCTAATCTGAAGTCCTGATAATTTAATAGAGCTACCTTTGGACTACCCAAAACCTTTTAATTGCAACCTAACCTTAAGTTCAAGTGAAGAAATTTATCCTAGTTTGGTCTTAGTGTTAACCTTGAATGCCTGCACCTGTCATGTTTCAATCTGGTCTCAGTTATTTAAATCTATCTCCACCGTCTTGAGTCCATATATTTTGTTTTAATTTTGCCTTCTGCTAATAAATCTGCAAGTTGCCCATATTTTTTTAATTCTTCTTTAACACCAATTGAGATATCAAATTACATGCACGTCATAAAATTTGCCAATCTACTTGAGTGCACTAGCACCTCTTATGAATAGGCAACAACAAAGCCTTTTCCCACTTAATGGGGCTATTATGAATAGACACTGAAGTTTAAAATGTGCGGGTGTTGTCCTCCACCCTTTTATAGTTATCCTTCCTTTGTATAATATATTTGCTTACCACCACTTGCAGGACATAAATGAAGAATGGATATCAGACAAGACTCGATTCTGTTATGATGGTTTGAAGAGGCAGAGGTTAAATGACCCTATGATTCGTGGTGCTGATGGGCGCTTTAAGCCTGTGAGCTGGCGTGATGCCCTTGCTGTAGTTGCCGAGATGGCTCATCAAGTTAAACCAGAGGAGATCGTTGGGGTTGCTGGTCAGCTATCTGATGCTGAGTCTATGATGGCACTGAAAGACTTCTTAAATAAAATGGGGTCAAACAATGTCTGGTGTGAAGCAAATGGTTCGAACCGTGATGCTGATCTTCGATCCGGATATATTCTGAATAGTAGCATTGCTGGTCTTGAGAAAGCAGATGCTTTTCTATTGGTTGGTACCCAGGTATGTTTCTAGCCATCTAATCTTAGTTTCTGCAATCCAGTGCAAGTGATTTGCACCTCTCTTACATTTTTGTATGACATGCTAAAGATTTGTGGATGCGTGAGTGGATTAATTGTGTTTTTAAGTATATTCGCGTAGAGTGATTCATACTTTCATATTATGTTTACCAGCCAAGGGTAGAAGCTGCTATTGTAAATGCTAGAATCCGGAAGACGGTGCAAGCTAACCACGCCAAGGTTGGGTACGTTGGCCCTCCAGCTGATTTCAACTACAATCACGAGCATCTCGGCACAGGCCCTCAGACACTTCTAGAAATTGCTGAACGTCGTCACCCATTTTCCTCAGTCCTCGCAAATGCTAAAAACCCTGCCATCATTGTTGGTGCTGGGGTCTTTGAGAGAAAAGACAAGGATGCAATTTTTTCTGCTGTTGAAGCCATTGGAAAATACGCCAATGTTGTAAGGCCTGATTGGAATGGATTCAATGTACTGCTTCTCAAAGCCGCCCAAGCTGCAGCACTTGACCTTGGGCTTGTGCCAGAATCTGAAAACAGCATCGAGTCTGCAAAGTTTGTTTACCTGATGGGCGCTGATGATACCAACTTGGAGAAGGTTCCAAGTGATGCATTTGTGGTTTATCAAGGGCATCATGGGGACCGAGGTGTGTATCGTGCTAATGTCATCCTTCCTGCAGCAGCATTCAGTGAAAAGGAAGGAACATACGTAAACACTGAAGGGTGCTCACAGCAAACAGTACCTGCAGTTCCGACTGTCGGTGATGCCAGGGATGACTGGAAGATAATTCGGGCTCTATCTGAGGTGGCAGGCGTGCGGCTGCCATATGATACGCTTGGGGCAATCCGATCCCGGATCAGGACAGTGGCACCAAACATTTTGCAAGTAGACGAGAGAGAGCCAGCTACCTTTTCATTATCGATTAAGCCCGAATCCACTCAAAAAGTGGACACCACTCCATTTGGGACTGCAGTTGAGAATTTCTACATGACCGATTCGATCACCAGGGCTTCGAAGATAATGGCACAATGCAGTTCATTGCTCCTGAAGAAGTGATGAGTGGATTTTTGTTATTTGAATAAAGTCGCAGATTCACATGTTTTTCTCCTGTTATGTTTATTGGGTTGTTGTAAGGCCCTGTCTGGCCAGAGTTGGAAGTACTTCCAATAAAACTACTTTTAGGCTTTTGTTTCATTGTAATTCAAATGAAATATAATAGCATTTTCTCTGTACAACTGTTTGAATATATAATTTGGGATTTTTCATTCCATTTTTTGTTACATCTTTATTGAATGGACGCGACTGAAATTCCTCACCACCTTCACCGGCACAACGTTGAAGAATAAACAAAAACAATGCTAGCTAAACTCAAAAGTTTTGGATGCGGCCAAGTTATCAACTCCGTGACAATGCGTACGCACCTGATTGCTCGATTGTCGATGACATGGACCTAGGAACTCACCCCTCAGGTTCATAGATTATTAGTTATGTAAAATCGCCTAGGTTAAGAAAAAAGAGTAATGCTAGGTAGACAAACTTTTAAGACCAAATTTGCAAACCATGCCAATATATGAAATTGCCCCCCTCACCACCTTTGCTACACATGAAATTGACAAAAGTTAATTTGTTATTCTTCTTGAACCTAAATACTATTCAGGCAAGATACTTGACAAAATATCTCAATCGAATCAAAGAGGTTGAAGTAGGGTAGGTAGCAAGGGCCAACTTGTCAAAGTGGTGTGCGGGTTTCATCTCGGCCTCGGAAGAAAGAGAATCTTCCATTCCCCACTAATTGGTAATTGTTGTGTTCCTTCAACTTCTACCAAATTCTTTCTATGCTCGTCTCTTTTAATTCTTGTTTCTGGTTCTGGCCTGCTGGCCATTGCCTTGCTTTGGTCTTGTATGTTAATGTTTGTCGTCTCTCTTAATAAATTTGGTCTTTTATAAAGACACCAAAAAGAAACCAATTGGACTTGATGGTCGTGAATTTTTAGATTGGCCATGTTACAAACTATTGACAAGATCATGGTATAAACTATTCTTGCTTATTGGAGAGGCTGATTCGAACTCAACTGCGAACAGTAAACAGTGGCCATGCCCTCCTGACTAAGCACTCGTATGACAGTGTTTTTAAAATAACTTAAGAACACTCTTGGTGAAATTGTTTTTGGCCTCCAACAGTATTCTGTAGGAAGCACTTCAAGTATTTTTCCAGGATTCACTTGCATTTTTAGTAAGGATTAGTTCTAAAAACACTTCTAGCAAAAGTGATTTTGGTCATTTTAAAAGTACACTTTCCAAACGAACCCTAACCGGTATAAAATTAACCTGATGTTTAACCATATGAAAATCATGTAACTCATATATCTTAAACGTTTACATACATAAAACATCAAAAGTAGGCCTACAAAACGCAACAGACACACTCCGTCCTTCCTATATCTTGCACTTTCTTTGTTATTCAAAAGCCAACACTACAAACAAAAGGAAAACTGCAGGACCTTTTAGCAGCGCATATGAGACAGCAATAGTAAGCAAGCAAGCCCTCCCCCGCCATAAGAGTCTGAGATGAGAGCTTCGTTCAGCTTTTTCTTTATCCTCGAAGAAGAAGACTGACCCCAAATGAAATTGTGCACCCTATAAGCCCGAATATAGCCAAGAAACCGTATTTCCTGTCATTTTACAATAACAAAGTGTAAATTAAGTCTGACATGTTATGGTGTTGGTCACATAAAAATTTGTATCATTGATAACTAAATTCTTATTGATCTGAATATATTATCGGTCAATATTTACAGTCTTATAATATAACATATCATGCGAGATAGATATTAACAAAAGAATATGGCTTAAAATAGCATATATAGGAAAGAGATCCTCTTCGGATCTCTTCCTCCAAAGCCACCAAATCAAGTGATTCGGATCCTTGAAATTTAATCTAACGGTTAAAAACAGAGAAGTTAACAAAAACTTTTAAAAGTTATAATAATTTTTAACTGTTAGATCAAATTTCAAAAGTTCGAATCACTTGATTTGATGGCTTTAAAGGAAAAAATCTGGATCTCTTTCTGCATATATACACACACACACACACACACACATACATATACATATATATATATATATACACACACGCGCTAAATAAAACCCTAAGGCCTCGTTTATTGAGAGGATGTACTTTGTAGGATTATTCACACTAAAAAATACAACTTTCAGAGTTGGACAAAACAAAAAAAATTGTCATCCATTTCTTCATTCAAAACACTTTCAATATAGTAAATAATTCCAAAATAAATCCCCTCTAACAGACGAGGACTAATAGTTCATCTACACTCCCATCTCAAAATTCTCGATATCTCCATTTCTCTATTATGAAAATGAGACGAGTGTACACTGGGTACTAATTAAGATCTATCTAGTTTGATTTCATCTTACAACATCCTTATCACTATTAATCGCACCCTTATATTATGGTGCTTTTATATTAAATGAGTTTATTTTTTTTTTTTTGTTGAGTTCCAAATTAAACGGATCCTTACCTATATCCAATAGCAATCTAATAAATTGATTTACCACATCTACATATGACTATTCTAAAATACGAATGATAAACTACAAATACTGATAAATCATCAAATTAGCTAGTGAAAATAGCGAAAGTAATTGGTAAGATTGTAAATTGGTGGAAAGAAGAGGGCATATATACCCGATGGCGAGGCGCTTCATGGGGTCACCGGTGGCGTAGCCTTTGAAGTAGAAATAGCGAGTGAAAGTGAAGAGGAAACCAAGGGCGGCGGAGATGCAAGGATGCTTAAGACCTCCCAATACCAGAAGCACAAATAACATAGGCATCATTTCCAGAGAGTTCTGATGCCCTCTCTGCACACAGTTGAACACTTTTGCATCTTTGCTCTCCGATTCCGACGCATACATGGTCGGATATGGCACCTTGTACCTGCGGCGGTGGTGACCATTTCCAATTAATTGACGATAAACGATAATCAATTTGACAAACGATAATGGTAATTATGCTGAAACTAAGGGAGAGAGATTCGAACTCAGCTACAAGGGCTACAAAGGTGAATCACACTGCTCTAACCAACTCGACTAATTCAATTCCAAACAAATAAAGATGGAATAATTACGCTAAATTCATTTACACGAGAGAGATTCGAACATAGCTACAGAGATAGATCATACAGCTCTAGCCAACTAAACTAACTCAATTTCAAACAATTAACAATAGGTGATAATAAATTTGACAAATGATAAGATAATTACGCTAAATTTATGTACACTACGAGAGAAAGATTCAAACTTATCTACAAATGCAGATTACACGGCTCTAGCCAACTCACCAACTCAATTCCAAACAATTAACAATAAATTTGACAAACGATGTAATAACTACACTAAATTCATCTGAAATACGACAAAGGAGTTTCAAACTAAACTCGCGTTAATTTAGTGAACTCGACTAAGGAAAGGAGGAAAAGATTTATGCATACCTTTTTCTGGCCTTGCCAACTTGGAAGGTCATCCAGAAATTGAGTAAAGTGTAGAGAACGACGGCGAGGACTACATAGCCGTATTCTTTGGGCAGCAATTCGACTGCAGAAGTCATTTTCTCTTCTTCTCTTCTTTACGTGGGTTTAATTTGGGCATTGGGTATCCACCTTTACTAGTCTTATACTTGTTTCCCGACTTTTTCTCCAAGACAACTCAAGAGTTTAATATTTCAACAGTCGTATATACAGAGGGCCACTTTGCTCACTGCTGACGCTCACTTTCATTGATTACTGTTCTTTTTTTTTAGATGACATCATTGATTACTGTTATATTCGTTTGATATAATTGTTTTAACAAAATTGTTATTTTTACTGTATATTTATATCATCATTTTTTATTATTTTCTCACGAGATCGTATGTGTTGATGAATTCTACTTTTATTATAGAGATGATACACATAATAGTACAAATAGAAGTGTAGCACTACTCTTAATTTAATACACAAAACTTAAAATTTAAACTAGAGATTTAACGGTGGTGCATTTTTGCTCATTACCCTAAAGGGTGGCAGTGCTCACCACCTATTTAGATGAGTATAAATTTTGAATTGTGTTTATCCACTGTACAAATGTCAAAATTTTAAATTTATCTAACGATAATAAAAAATATGCTAAACATTACCATCACTTAAGTTGGTGAGCAAAAAATTTAGGAAAAAAGCACCCATCAAATACGTTGACCCAAAACAACAAAATAAAAAGATAGCAAGTACATTAGTTTTTTAGAGTGGTTGGTTTTCAGTGATCGACTTTTCCTCCATGCAATGCATCCACCTTTTTTTTAAACTTCAAAAAAATAAAAACAATTAATGGTAAGTTATGATTATCAATCCCTTCTGGAACCTGGAGAAACACTCGCATGCAATGCATCCCTTTATTTTTGACATTTTTTTTTTATAATCTTTATCTTTGACATTAACTCCAATCAATTTTCCAAAGATTAATATTGTATGCAACAATTGTAACTACAAGGACAAAAGTGGACGTTTTCTACAAGTACCAAAATCATACATTTGGCCAAAACAAAAGGAACACGAGAACAAAACAAAAGGGGAGACTAAAACAACACTAGAAAGTAGCCATTACATACAATGATACAAGCCATAACATTCCACATAAACATTGTAAAATCCCCAGAGGCAGAGGGCCTAAACGCACGACGACGACTTAGCCTATATTTTGCAGAGTGTGCACTTCTGACTGCGACGCAATGCCTGATCGACTGTGTCAAACTTCCCAATTTTTCCCGTCGAAATGCTTAATCTCAACACAAGTGAGTGTTCCAGGATCAACACACCTAAACGTGATTGCGACCCCATCAGGGTTCTCGCGTTGATAATAGAATGAAGTTATCCCACAAACCTTACAGAACGTGTGCTTTGCCGTATGAGTACCGAAGGTGTAAGGTGTAAGAAACTGCTCAGAATCAATCAAAAGTTCAAATCTTTCAGTAGGGACAACGAAAGCGGTGGTACCCCTCATAGAGCAATTCGAGCAGTTGCAACTAACAGCCACAACACTGCTAGGCGCCTTCACTCGCCATCTTACATTCTTGCAGTGGCACCCGCCTTCATGTACTACCAACGCAGAGTCCATGCCTCACGATTCTAAGTCTTCAACAGTACCGCTAATGAGCAGGATTATTTCTTCGAATTTCTAAACGCACGCGTTCAAACCTGTCAATAAACAGCACATCATAACAATTTGTTGCAGTAGATGGAACCCAAATATACAATTGCAATTCCAGTTCATTCAAGTCGATCTTACTCTAGTTTAATGGTCAGTCAGTGCAGAATCGAGATTTAGATTACCATCTCATCAAAATACAAATCTGCACTTGAGCAGAATAAAATACAAGAAATAAAGATACCGAAAAATTTTCGAGGTTCGACAAAATTCTACTTACGACCTTGGAGAGAAATTGCTCACCCACTCACAGAATTCCCCGAGTGCTCACTCTACCCCAAGAGTTTCTCACTCTGACTTCTATTTTCTCTCTTCTGTGTTCTCTTTCAAATGCACTTACAGTGCATGGATATTGCCTTCACTTATAGGCATACACTAGCAACTATGCCAACAACCACGACCAGAAAGGCTTAAGCTCACATGGCATATTCGACACCCAGCCTACCTAGCCTACAACTTGCAATATTTTCCTCCACCAAGCCGAAAGCATTGAAGGAGGAAACTTACAATTATGCAATACACATAGTCACAAATGGTTGCTGCCATTTCCTTGTAGCATTCACAAACTTACACATGCAAAATTGTTGTCAACCCATAATTAATCCCTAATTTATGAGCCAATCACAACAGTAATGCCAGTTCATTGAGGCACCAACAAACTGGATAAGATAACGAGATCCAAGCATGGTGGGCTGGATGTGATAGGTTGTGATCAATTAAATGGACTTGAGTCCAGTCAGTAGTTTGCTGTGTCAAAATGTGAGATGAACTGGACTGATAAGGCCTAATCTCATCCAGCCCACCAAACGGACCCATAAAGGATTGACATCGAAGATAAGAATCAAGATGTGGCTCAAACAAGAAATAAAGATGTGACTCGAGATAAGACTCGAAATGTTTGTCCAAATATCAAATCTCTCATTGAGATAAAAACAGTATTTCATCAAAGACGTCGTAACAGATGAGTACCTACAAATTACAACACATCGATTGTGGTGGATGAAAACTACTGCTTGACTTGGAAGCTCAATAAATTAACAGGACAAACAATTACTCTGCCTTCTTATATGTAACGCCCTACTCAATCTGCAAGACTTGAACCAATTGTGCAGATAGGATACAGCGAAGAGAGCTTCTTCGCCATGTTCGTAGTGGGAGTGGCATTCCCAATTCAAGAGAGCTCCCAGGACTAATCCTAACATGCCCAAAACTGTTACAATATTTGGGTCAATTAAGATCATGCTACGTTTAAAGAAGTAGAAGAATCTCAAGAGGGCAGTTGAGGAAGAAACCACAGTTTTCAAACATTCTACTTTGTGTGTCTGTGAAGAAACCACAGTTTTCAAATTCGCATTTGACGAGAATCGAACCTAAGACCTCTTACTTACCAATAACAGAAATATCACTACCGTAGTATTAAATGACAACAGAGCGTGTGTTAAAAAGGTTAAAAAAAAATGTGTGGATAGCACCACCCTAATCGTTTTTTCTGTAATTTGAATTTGTTTGCTATATATTTATCACTCTCTATCCCTTTTTTAGTTCTTAATCTTCATTTCTCTTCTTCTTCTTCTTCTACAGCTAACAGTCCTAAGTCTTAATTCGTACACAATTTTTTTTATCAAATATTATGAAAAACCTACCCCCATTCCCTTTGGTTCCAACTTCCAAATGAAAACATATAATTAAGCAATTACAAAATATTAAAATTAAAACCAATAAGAAAACAAAAGCAGTAAGAATTGAGTAAATTGGAAAGAGAGGGAACCTGATTCCGCCACCGCTGTAAATCAAAGGGCATCTGGACAATATCCTTTGAGGACTTGTAGAACATAATGCCAAATTGGCAGCTGCTGGCGGCGGCGGCGGCTTTTGTGAGGGGCTCTTTAAGGGACGGCCCAGCCCACGGCTGAAGTAGCAGGCTGTAACCCATTCTTCAGCCCACTTATAGCCCATACTTCATTTTTTTGGTAAAAAAAATGAAAAAAAAAAAAAAAATCTTTACTGAATCAGCCAAAACAGTCCCGACATCCCTACCTTCTCAGCAGTCCAGCCTCCACTTTCTCCTCCTCCTCCTCCTCTGTTCTCACTCTGTAAGTCCTTCTTGTTATTCTTCCTTAAAATTAGGGGCTGAGTTAATTTCCTAATTATGTTTTAGGGAGCCGATTAACTTAGGAGCCAGTGAATTGTTTCGGTTAATACTCTGTGTATGTATAGTTTCATATTTCAGGAGCTTCCAGTTTCGGTGGCTTAACAGTAACAGGATAGATAAACTGACTTGTTTGATTTTCATAATTTGTTGTTTGACTGACTGACATGGTTGTTGTGACTTGTTGCTTTAGTAAACTACAACTTAAACTAGCTTTACATTGTTTTTCAATTCCATGGATGTTTGTTGTTGATGTTTTTTTTGTTTTTCTTATAAGTTTTTGATAATGTATAGCCGTGTTTAAAGTATCTACGAGATTGTCGATATTTCAGTCGAAATATTCGAAAAATCAAGGATGATTGTGGAAATAGGGTGAAATGTAAACTCCACCTTATTTCGGCGAGATATAGGAAAATCAATGAATATCAAGGATGCTTACCAATTCACCACATAAATTTTGCTGGAGCTCAATGCAGATTTCGAACTTTTGATTTTTTTTTTTTTTTTTGAGAATTTTTTCTCAAATTTTGACTAAATCTGAATGGGTTGATATACCCACCCATTGCAAATTTCCATAATTTCCGTTGAAGGCAATCAATATTGATATATCCATCAATATTTCAATAAATTCGCATATTGATATTTTCCACCTATATGAATATTTTAAGCACTGTATAAGTATGCATTTTGAGGTGTAAGGCTCATTACGCTCCCTAGAGTAGGCGTATCTTTCTTAAATTTATTGTTTCCTGCTTGTCAATGAAATTCACTCGTGCGTGTTATAATACCGTTGGATTTCTGTCGGGGAAATGATTAACGAAACAGTCTTGTTCATGTTCCATGTGGCAAGTAAATTATTATGAATATGATGGACAATGATCAATGAGACGGTCTTATTTGTTGCCCTTGTGGAAGCTTTAAAAGTAGCAATTATCAACGAGTTATGAGTGTTTCATCAGCATCGGGAAACAGTTCCCTTTTGAATTGGCAGTAGCCATCATGTGTGAAAATAAGTTTTGAGGAGTGAAATACTGTATGTTGGGTTATTTATCCATGATGTTTACTACTTTATGAAAACAATTTATATACTTTCTCTAATGACAAATTTGGAACTCTTGTATATGCTTTTTCTTCATAAGAATATAGTGGTCTTTACTATGTGGATATGCATGTATATAATATATATATATGTGTGTGTGTGTGTGTGTGTGTGTGTGTGCATTCATATCATTTGTATGTTAAACTTGTGCTGACTGCCAAGAGTTTCTGTAGAATCTGTAGGAAGCTTTTAAGGTATAGTATTTGGAAGTAAAGATGCAGGCTTGCGGTGGAGCTGCAGTGATGGGTTCTCTTCAACAACCCGCTTGGACCAAAGGAACAATTTTTTCAAACAAGGGGCTTACCGGCAGTGGATTTTCCCATCAACTAAAGCTCAATTGTGTGAAGCCCGTTAGATCTTCTTCTTACATAGAAGGAAGCTTGGTTACTGGAAGGCCATCCTCTTCTGTCACTGTGCCTTTGCCTGAAATTGGTGGTAATTCTACTCCAATCTGTGAACTGATATCAATAATTTCTATTTACTTTTGGTTCTATTTGTAAATTTTATTAAAATGCATGTCAAATTTTTGTTCTGAGATTTCTACAGCAGGAATAGTTCCGGTTTTTCAGATTTTATGGTGTTATATATAATTTTGATGTCGGTTTCTCTTAAGAAATACAAAAATCGAAAAAACTATCAATTTGCTCAGCATCTGCCAGAATGGTATTCCCTTATATTTCTTGGATTTGATGCTCTGTGTATTTATTTTCTTAATATCTACTTAGCATATAACTACAGAATTTCATTACTCAATTCTATGACGAAACCATCCTTATGAATAAATATCTTTAATAGAACCATATGTTCCGGCTCTATTTTCCCAACTTCTGATGTAGTATGAAGGGAATCATTGGTTAGTAGCAGGAGTTATGTCTGACTTGTTCATGAATTGTATAATTTGGTTTACAGGTAATGGAAGCAGTTTTGTAGACAACGGATTAAGTGAGGCTGACCCTGAGGTGCGTGCTATTATTGATATGGAGAAGCAGCGACAGTTCAAGAGTCTTGAGCTTATTGCCTCAGAAAATTTTACTTATCGGGCAGTGATGGAGGCAGTTGGCTCATGTCTAACGAACAAGTATTCAGAAGGTTTACCAGGTAAAAGGTACAGATACAGACTGAGAGTAATGTGAGTTCAATAGGGATCTTCCGTTAAAATTATTTTTCTTGGTGTAGCTCATCATTTGATTGTACATATCAGGTACTATGGTGGCAATGAGCATATTGATGAGCTTGAAACACTTTGCCAAAAGAGGGCTCTTGATGCATTTCACTTAGATGGAAAGAAGTGGGGTGTTAATGTTCAACCATTATCTGGTTCCCCTGCTAATTTCGAGGTTTATACCGCAATTCTTAAACCTCATGATCGTCTCATGGTAAGTTTTCCTCCTGGATTTGGTTTACTCTTTATTGGTGGCTACTAGCTATTAACATGTGCATGCAACTCAGGGTTTGGACTTGTCTCACGGAGGACATTTGTCTCATGGTTTCATGACTCCTAAAAGACGGGTGTCAGGCACATCCATTTATTTTGAGTCCATGTCATATCGACTCAATGAATCCACAGGTGCTGCATTTTGTTTCTGGATAAGACTATTTTGCCTTTCAGATTTATTAAGGGTGTAATTGTTATTCTTTGGAATGAGGTTGGTTATTTTGTAACAAAAACAAAATGCAGGTCTGGTTGATTACGACAAGCTTGAGGAAATGGCTGACCGATTTAAACCAAAACTCATTATTGCCGGGGCTAGTGCTTATCCTCGAGATTTTGACTATCCTCGCATGAGGAAGGTTAGTATTTATGTATTCATTCCATATAAATAAATTTAATTCGCGTAATGGATATGGAATTCATTATCATTTATAAGCATTGTGTTTTTCCTTGGCAACTAATGAATTACATCTAATTTGCATTGGAAGATTGCGGATTCGGTTGGTGCTTTTCTTATGATGGATATGGCTCACATAAGTGGGCTTGTTGCTGCTTCTGTGCTTGCAAATCCCTTTGACTACTGCGACATTGTGACAACAACAACACACAAGGTATTGTTCAAACTCATATATTTATATTTTACCAAATTTTTCCAAATTAAAAAATTTCACTTGAATGGACTCTTAGACATGCTAAAACGCAAATACTTCGTCAGTAGCCTCATCACATGCTTCCTTGTTGTAATCCACATTTGCATGATCTCACAAATTTAAGACACTTCTTTTCAGTCTTTAAGAGGTCCAAGAGGTGGGATGATCTTCTTCAAGAAAGATACAGTTCTCGGGGTTGATTTAGAAACTGCCATCAACAATGCTGTTTTCCCAGGTTTACAGGTTAGTTGTACTTCTTTTCATGATAACAAATCTCATCGATGCAATGCCTAATTATTTATTTATTCTTCTATGAATTAAACATTTATTTTGAATTTTGATGTACAAAGGATAAAGGCTTGAGTTCTTTATGCAGGGTGGTCCTCATAACCACACTATTGGGGGCCTTGCAGTTTGCTTGAAGTATGCACAGTCCCCAGAATTTAAGGCTTACCAGAACCAGGTACTGTAATATTTTTTCCTAGTGTAAAAAGGGTCGAAGACATGCCCTAAGTTAGTGTGGATACTCTACCTTGTAGGTGGTGTCTAATTGCAGGGCTCTTGCTAGCCGATTAACTGAACTTGGTTACAAACTAGTTTCTGGTGGAAGTGATAACCACCTGGTTCTTGTGGATCTCCGGCCTTTAGTAAGTTCCTAGTCCTAGATTGTTAATTAATTTACTTGTTTGGATTGATACTAATTTCTAATTGCTGCTTATATGAGAACTTGTCCTGAGATGTGGACATTTAAATGGCTTTTTTTTAGCGTTTTCTCATTTGTGAATGACATTATAGGATATTAATTAAGGATTAAAGTTATTATTTGGTCCTGTGCATTAGGTTATATACCCAAATCTTATTTTCCAATGTTATTGCTCATTTCCTTTATCGACAGGGTATCGATGGAGCTCGAGTGGAGAAAATTCTTGACATGGCTTCTATCACCCTTAACAAGAACTCAGTACCTGGTGAGTGTACAGGTCAATTTGGTTGAAAAAATTGAAGAGAACTTTTGGATTTCAGAATAAGGCTAATTTAGTTCATGAATGCTATGAAGTTTTACATGATCCATATTTGAAATAGTTGTATGCAAGTAATCATACGAAATGGACGTGTTTTCTTTAGTTCAAATGTAGGAAGATATATATATCCTGATAGTCTAATCAAGCCGTTTACATAATTTCACCCGATACGCTAAGGGTTCCAGACTTTTACTTTTGGTTTCAGGCCTATTTGGCCCTACTGGGTACTTGCCTAGTTTTGAAGGTCTTTATCTTTGAGCTATTTTGTTAGTGTAGTTCTGGTTTTTACGTCACTGAGCTATTTTTTGTTTCCTCTTGATCTTACACCTGCGATGTTTGATGACATAGGTGATAAAAGTGCTGTAGTGCCCGGTGGCATTCGCATTGGATCACCTGCCATGACGACAAGAGGATTCACCGAGAAAGAATTTGTAGCTGTTGCAGACTACATTCATGAGGGTGTGCAGATAACAATTGATGCTAAACGCGCAGCCTCAGGATCAAAGCTCCAAGATTTTATGAAGTTTGTAGCTTCCCCTGAGTTCTCCCTAAAGGACCGAGTGTCAGATCTGCAGAGAAGAGTTGAGGCCCTTACCACCCAGTTCCCATTGCCTGGAGTATAACTCAGTGGTTAATGTTATCATAAGGAAATACAAGGTTATTACTTCTGTTGAAACTTAAGTTAGCATGCTCTTTTCGGTGGATACTAGATATTCATCTTCGGTTTTGTTCCTGTGCGAAGGTGAGGAAACGAGAGTTTGAACTTACTATATCAATGGCAAGTGATAGGTTACTCAGAGTTGATGCTCGCTTAGTAAATATAGGGTAAAGCCTACGGTTGCAAATTCTGCAGAACATGAAATGGCAAAGAGAGAATGCCGTGTGTATCAACCCACGCACTCGTGTCGGCAGAGAAACCAGCGCTGATCAGCTCTGGCTGGCGGCAGCACATTCCTCAGATCGACTACGCCTGAAAGACTACATTTTCCAGCGTTGTAGACCGGGTTTTTAACATAAGTTAGCAAAACGCTTTTGCGTGGTGGGAGTTGTAGCTTGCCCATGCATTTGCTACAGATCCCTTTTTATACTGCTTTTCAATGTGACATTGGCGCTACTGAGTCAATGGAATTGACATTGATTCCTACATGATTAGGACTCGGATTCCACATGTTTTTATAACTGTCAAACTCGATGGTGACGACCTTATTTCCAGAGGGTGTGAAAAGCCGAATCAGAGCTAAATAAACCAAAGCACCCACTAGAATTGTGAGGGGATGTTTGACGACGGAGGATATGCCATCACCGGCATACGCATCATTCAGGGCCTTCATGACGACGGAGAAATGGGTTGTAAAGTCGGTGAGCCTCCCCATGCTGGCATCCCAAAGGCTCCGCCAACACTTTAGGAGGGGGAGGACCATCAACGTGATTCTTAGTCCCCCAGAAGGGAGTGCGTCACCTTGGAAGGTCATTTTCTTTCAACAGTTCTGATTCAAATGTTAAATCACACAATAACATGTAAACAAGCTTGATCAAGTTAATATACTCAGAAAATATGATTTCTCATTGCGTTGATGTTATCGAAGCTAAGGGTAGCTGTCTTCTTTTCATTTGGATAGTAAATTTCGAACATTCATTTTCTCGCCTTGCACATTTTTGTTACGTAAAACCTATATATGGTTATAATCTTAGGACAAAACGAATTTTATCACTATAAGAGGTTATTTTTTCACTTAGTTATCCTTACGAAAAGTTGTATGGATACAAAAGAACTATATTAGTAAAAGTATTAACATTAAAGAGATTTTACCGTACTTTATGTCATTTCACAGTAATTGTCTTTCTTTTCATTTGCGGGAGCATTAGATTAATAGGTCCCCCATTGGGCCTTGTATTGAAGATGCGAAAGTTTTTATGTCCAAGATATTTTAGCCCATATTCGTCTCGTCATCAGGCCAATGAGATGCACAAACTGGTCCTTTCCACAGGCCTTTGTAAATACATCTGCCAATTGGAAATGAGTAGGAGCATGCAACGGACTAATTATTCCAACTTGTAGTTTTTCACAAACTATGTGACTGTCAATTTTAATGTGCCTTTTATGTTCGTGGAAAACAAGATTCATTGCAATGTACAAAACTGCTTGATTATCACAATATTGATTGAAAATTTTTGTGGTGCTCTAAAACCTTGTAAAGAAAACAGGAGGCGCAATTGTTTTTTATTTTATTTTGTGGACAAAGGTAACTTTCATTACCAAGAGAGCACAATTACAGACAAAGGGGCCCAAATACACAGTACGCACAAAACAAAAGTGAACCCCCAACACTAAACAAAAGCCCAACCCGAGAGAAGGGCCTAAAACAGAAAACCCTACAAGACTAGCTTCCTCCGTCGCCGTCGAGGAACTGGCCGCTGATCCAGCATCCCAGGCCAGAGCTCTCACCAAACACAGCCCCAAAGAAGAAGGCTCCATCGTCCTCCATCAAACTCCACACAAATTAAAACCGCAGCCACCAAAGAAAGAAGCCAAAGGGAAAAAACTTTCCCCCAGCAACAAAGTCGAAAATGGCATACAATTGGAGGGTGGTGGTGTGGACACCATATGAGCCGAAGCTCTGCACACCTTCCTAGAAAACAGCAAACTGCGGGTGGAAAAGATGGTTGCAGAATCATACATGTGTGATAACACTGTAGGATTGAAGCAAATGGAAAAGTCAGAAAATGGCTTGATTAGAGTCATGGAGGTGGAAAAACTTGAGGGAGAAGAAGAAAAGGGAAAGTTGGAAGTGGGACTGTTGGATCAAGACCGATGGAAGGTTAGATTGAAGGTCGCAGGGGGGATCACGAAAAAAGATGGTTAGAAAAACAAGAAGAAAGCCAATCTCATAGAGAAGGGAAGAGAGACAAAAGAAGAAGAAGAAAAAAGGAGGCCACCGACCCTGGCCTCCGCTAGGACCGGCGGCAGAGCGAGTGGACGAAATTGGGAGCACTCACACACAGGTGAGAAAGTATCTCACACAGAGAGAAGTTCTCTCACGCAGAGAGAATTTTTTTCAGGAGGCGCAATTGTTTTGAATGAATTTCTTGATTTGATTCTTACCCGTATAAAGTATTGTATACAAGATCCACAATTTATTGACTTGCCATAATAATGTGGTTCAACTTTACTTTTGACGGAATCGAACATAAGACATTTCACTTACAAATGAAGAGGACCGTAATACTAATAATGTGATTCAACTTTACTTTTGGCGAGAATTAAACTTAAGACCTGTCACTTACAAATGAAAAGATGTACCACTTGACCTCGCTTACAATTTGTGGGATTTGACTCTAATAACATAACTGTAATAATATTTTCCTTTTTTTTTTTGGGTCTATATAATAGTATTTTCCTAATAATGCAATCCACAAGGATTGAAACTTGAGACAGCTACCGAGAAAAGAAAAGTAAAATGCCAGCCAACATCAGTTTTATTTATTAGTAATTTCCGACATCCAAAAACGTTTCTAATTAGGTTTGGAAGAAAATGGTTTGAGGCGCTCACGGGTCATATAGCCCTTGTTAGGAGCTTCTTCAAAAGGTACTTGGATTATTAATGAAAATTTGGGCTGATTAGAAGTGATGTTAAAATGATTAAAAATACTTTTGGTGAAATTATTTTGGGTTTCTAAATCAGTTGAACTGTTTTATTTAAGAAGCGTTTTTTTTGTAGAAAGTAATTCAAGTTTTTTTTTTTTTCTTCATGATTTACTTGTATTTTTATTGAGAATTGATTTTAAAAACACTTTCATCAAAAACTGTTTTCGATCATTTTGAAAACACTTTCAAACAAGCCCTTCAGCATGCTTATATTAAACATAACTCACTCACTCTTTCCAATTTTTAAATAAAATTCCCAAGTTGGGTACCCATCTAATTGATAAAAAAAATGACTAGATTATAAAAATACGCAACCAACCGACCAACCCATCTAATTGATAAAAAATGACTAGATTATAAAAATACGCAACCAACCGACCAAGCTCGTTTGAAATTGTCTTTGCAATTATTTCAGCCCATGTTCGTCGTCAGGCCAACGAGATGCACAAACTGGTCCTTTCTTCGGCCCTTTGTAAATACGTCTACCAATTGGAAATGAGTAGGAGCATGCAATGGACTAATTATTCCAGTTTGTAGTTTCTCATAAATCATGTGACTGTCAATTTTAAAGTGCTTTGTATGTTCGTGGAAAACAAGATTCGTTGCAATGTACAAAACTGCTTGATTATCGCAATACAATGGTGTGGAAGCTGTTGATTGAAATTTTTTGTGGTGTTTGATCTGCTAGGGTTTGGAAGGCTAGGTAATCAGGCATCGGTGCTCTAAAACCTTGAAAAGAAAACAGGAGGCGCAATTGATTTGAATGAATTTCTTGAATTCATTCTTACCCTATAAGGTGTTATATACAAGATCCACAATCCAAAGCAGTTTAACTGTTTTATATAAGAAGCACCAGTTTTGTGTTTCTTATAGAAAACACTTCAAGTGCCTTTCCAGAATTTACTTGCATTTTTATTGAGCATTGGTTTTAAAAATACTTTCATCAAAAGTGTTTTCGGTTATTTTGAAAACATTTCCAAACAAGCTATTTGGCATGTTTATATTAAACATAACTCACTCACTCTTTCTAATTTTAAAATAAAATTCCCACGTTGGCTACCCATCTAATTGATAAAAAATGACTAGATTATAAAATATGCAACCAAGGTCGTTTGAAATCGTCTCTGCAATTATTTATATGAGGATAGTTTCCGGTGCAAGTTACTGAAATTTCTAACAACTAATTAGTTAAAGCGATCAGACAATGGCTTTTTTTTTTTTTTTTTTTTTTGTGTGTGTGGATAATCTCCATTGATAAGGTCGAGCTAACATACAAAAAAGAAAAAAGAGGAGCTGGTTTATATTAGTTGTTTTCCTTTTGGCCAGAGACATCACCAATATGGCTGAGGCTGTTGTTTCGTTCGTCGCTGTGAGGCTCGGATACTTCATTCAAGAAGCCAAATTCTTGTATGGAGTCGGGGACATCGTTGACCGTGCACAAACCGAGCTACAGTTTATGAGGAGCTTTCTGAAAGATGCAGATAAAAGACAAGAGCATGATGAAACACTACGTATCTGGATTGCTAAAATTGTAGATGCTGCTTATGATCTCGAGGATGTAGTTGAAGCTTATACCTTGAAAGCGGTTTTAAAGAGGAGAGGGGGTATTACGATTACTCTGAAAAGGTTTTCTTGCATCTTGAAGGAAGGAGTTGACCTTCACAAGATTGGTACAGAAATTGAGAACATTACCACCAGAATTTCAAATTTGCGGTCGAGTTTGGAAACTTTCAACCTCAGAGAAATAAGGGAGGACGGAGGTGCCGCTTCCTTGCAATTGTACGAGAGGCAACAACTACTGAGGCGAAGTTACTCTCATGTTATTGAACCCGATATCGTTGGGTTGGAGGACAGTGCGAAGGAAGTGATTATGCAATTGATGAAGGAAGACAAATGCCTTGTTGCTTCGATTTGGGGCATGGGCGGCTTGGGAAAGACCACTCTTGCAAAACATGTCTATCATCATAGTGAAGTTCGGCACCACTTTGTTGGTTTCGCTTGGGTGTGCATATCTCAAAGATGTCAAGTTAGAAATGTTTGGGAAGCAATTTTATTTAAACTCATGTCTCCTACCACTGAGCAAAGAGAAGCAATTGCAAAATGGAGGGATGATGAAATAGCCCAAAAGATTTGTCTTACGCTTCAAGACTCAAGATGTTTGGTGGTCCTTGATGATATTTGGAGCATCGAGGCATGGGAGTCTTTAAAAGCTGCATTTCCACGCGGGGGAACAAGGAGCAGGATATTACTCGCCACGCGCAAAAAAGCAGTAGCTTTGTGTGCTGATAGAAATGGTTTCCTCTACCAACCCCGACCACTAAATGAGAACGAAAGTTGGGAACTGCTCAGTAAGATAGCAATTGCTGGAAAGGATGATACAAGTACTTCCTCACCAAACTCTTCTATGACTTTTTATTATTATCATTTTAGTTATCGCAAGAACTAATTTTGAAAAATATATAGCTTCTCTAGCTCGAATTCGAACTCAAAACTTCACGTGTGAGGATTGATCATAGATCAGGAAATGAAAATTGAACTCTAGAAAACAAGATGCATTTGACATTCAGTTTTGTTAAAGATATCAATTGATACCGATTTCATTCTATTTAACTACTGTTAGATTGATTGTTTGATGGTTTATAATTAGGCTAATTGCTTGCAGTAAGCTATTATTTGATTTATTCCTAGTTTTTCACATTTACTTGTACAAATTCTCCAAGACAATGCTATAAGAACTCTCCCGATTCTAACTTCTTCTTTTCTCCTCTTTTGTGACCTGCTTCCTTGATCCGTATAACTTATAATAAGATCCAGAAAACAAAGTTCATAATGTATTGTCATTTGTCAAGATATTGATAATTGTTTTCACATTTGGTTTTTGTTTTTCTACAATTAATTACTGATTTTCTAAGTGTTGTTA